TAAATATATTAGATAAAATTATAAATTTTTTTTGGGTCTTGTCCGGTTTTTTCACCCTAAACCCGAATCCGACCCGACCCGAATATCACACTTAAAAAATTAACCCAACCCGAATATCACACTTAAAACAACCCGACCCTTATGACCTAAATACCCTTATGACTTAGATTACGTGGATGCTTTTGGATGGACTCGGGAAACACCGATAAACTTAAGTTTTATATTTCCCATAAAGGTTATGGAACACGACCCAAGCCATCTGACTTTCTAGATACTATCACAATATAGAAATAAATAATATCATCGAAATACATGTCCATCTTCTAAAGATATGCTCGATGTTGATTCTAAAGGAAATTCATTCAACTAGTGCAGTCAATATTAAGAAGTGAATATTTGAGAAATATTTTAGCTTAAATGTTTCGCAAGTATCACAGTGTTGGAATCTGATTAGTTTGACTTAACTCAAAGTATGATAATTCAATATAAATCCTTAATAATATAAATTATCGTTTTACCCTTATTGGGTTAAATTATTAAGAATTCTTTAGAAAATTGAAATGTCAAAAATGCCTTTGTGGGCTTGAATAATGGAATCACTCTTAGTAAATCCGGATCTTGAACTACTCTGAGGTAAAGGTTCCTGAATACTATCTTGATGCACCCAAATTTTCAATTGGTCCTGACGTATTAATTTCTAAATGTCTGAATCAATTTATTAGTAATCAAATTCTTTTAATAGGGGCCTCATTTTCATAATCCAATCAATTTATAAAATTTCATGTTTCCTTTCCTGATAATTACTATGCGCCTCCAAAAAATATCTGAATCCTTTGTGTGTTCCTATCTTCTCTGTTTTGAAAAGTACGACTCTGATTTTTTTAAACAAAAATATGATCTTTGTTTTCTGATACATAATACATCTGGCTCCTGCTTTCTGATATTATAGATCACTTATTTTTACTGAAAATATGTCTAATTGATGGATTTTGGAATTATTATTATTGTCTGATCTATTAGGGGTATTATTTGGGTAGGTATATGGAGTTCTGAGGTTTAGCTAGCTAGTAATTCCTTTCTGTCATGTATATTGTGTATTGCATATTAGTGTTCGTTAGAGGGCACTATATTTGAACTTTGTTTTTATACAAAAATATCTACCTCTTAATTTCTGCCATTATTGGTTATTGTTAAACTTATTTATAGTGGGGTATTGATTGGGTAGGATTCTGAAGTTCTAAGGTTTAGCTAGTTGGTAATTCTTTTTTGTCTTGTATATTGGGTGTTGCATATGGAGTGTTCGGGTGGAGGGTGTTTAAGTGATTTTAAATATCTATTTCTTGAAATAAACTAATGTTTTCAATCTATATGATTACATTTATTCTATTTTTATGGGAACACACTAGACTTCTGTTATCAATGTCCTAAACCTAGTCATCTGAACGTTTCCTCTGAATTATAAACTTCATGTCTGTTACCTGAAGATATATCAGTGAAACCTTGCTCACCATGAAAACCTGTAGATGCATGAATCAATAAGGAAATTTTATGCTTGCCATTTATTTGCATGTCCTTCATCATTATCTGATAGTTCTGTATTACTGAGCTTCCCAAAGCCCACTCTTTTACTCATCATATTAGGTTAAAAGAAATGATCCAGTGTAACTATCAACATCAGTAATGGGAGTTCCTTTGGCATTGCTTGCAAAGTACGATACATGTATAATTAGAAGGCATATGGGCCATAGTCTGTTTTCATATCATAGTATGAAATTATGTTTTGATATGTAATTGATTTTCTGAACTTGTATTTTTATTCATAAATTGTTTCACGGTTTGTAATTAAACAAAAATTTTTATTTTTCTAGTATTTTTATTATGGGTCACGTCAATGGCCCTAATGTGACACCTCATATCGTATAGGGTTATATGTATCAGTTTGGGGTGTTACATTTGTTGTAAAATACAGATGCAATCAAACATGCATACTTAAGTGTCAAAAGGCTACACATAAAAATCAATTCCTTACAAGGACAACTAAAGTAGCTTAGATATGCACTGGCATAGTTCATTATACTCAAGAGTCATTTATGTCTCTAAGGAGGTCTCTAATTGTTTTTTGATTCTACGATAATCAATGTTATCAATGCTACATTAATGTATTATTTGCTAGTCTGACGTTCGACTAGGGTTTGTTACTTGGTAGCGATGTTCTAGTCATTGTTATCGGATTTTCTTTCAATCCAACCTTGAATTAGAGGGATGACTTGTACATCCTCGGTTTATTGACGTTCACATAGTGCACGATTCCTCTATCATGTTATTCATGTGATTCTTCTTCTCGCTTACGAGTATACCCTTCACAATGATCATATGCTCTAAACTATTCGATATGTGCTCGATTGAATATACTTAACAATCAATTCCCTACCAGGACAACTAAAGTAGCTTAGATATGCACTGCATAGTTTATTACACTCAAGAGTCATTTATGTATCTTAGGAGGTCTCTAAGTGTTTTTTAATTCTATGATAATCAATGTTATCAATGCTAACTTAATTTATTATTTGCTAGCCTGACGTTCGACTCGGGTTTGTTACTTGGTAGCGATGCTCTAGTTATTGTTATCAGATTTCCATTCAATCCAGCCTTAAATTGGAGGGATGACTTGTACATCCTCGATTTATTGACGTTTACATAGTGCACGATTCCTTTATCATGTTATTCACGTGATACTTTTTATCGCTTACGAGTATACCCTTCACAATGATCATATACTCTAAACTATTCGATATGTGCTATATTGAAGATACTTGAAAGTTTACACCCGTTAAGGTTACTTCGATCATAACCCACTCCTAAGAGTGTTTCTAAGCACCTTTATCCATAGACTAAGTCCCACCATTACGGGTCATCCCTAACTTTTACGGGCCTTAACAAAGTCAAATTTAATCATCCAAAAAGAGTAGTATCGATACTCTACATGGAGTATCGATACCCCTAGTCAAGTATCGATACTCCCTTGAGTATAAGTACCAAAAACAGCTTCGAAGTGCCAAAAATTACTCTATTATCGATAGCAGACAACCTTAGTATCGACACCAAAAAGGCAATATCGATACTCCACTAAAAACTACTCAACACATTTAATCCAATATTGATATTGTTCATCCAATATGATACTCAAACTTAGAATTATCTTATTTAAGATTAGAAAACACTCAAAAATCCTCCTAAGTGTCTTAGTTTGGTCTTAAATCATGTGCTAAAGCTTAGAGAAGTTAATTGGGATCATCTAGCACTCTAAAAACACAATCTAAGCAACAAAAAAACATCATATATGTTATGAATCAAGCAAAAACCCTAAAATACTTAAACACCCAAATTTCAACAAAGCATCATGATTATGAAAGCCTTAACACCACAAAGAATTTGAAATACATTACCTTGGTGATAGAAACCCGAAATTAAGCTCCTTTAGTTGGTTATCACTCTCCTCAAAGACTTGGTTGATTTTTACCCATTTCTCTAGTCAAACAAGAAATGCATGGATTCCTTAGCACAAAGAAGGTTATAGGAAAAATTAGGGATGGATTTCAAGTTTGATGAAGTGAGGAAGGATGTTCTTATCACCACTTTGATCTATGGAGCTTAGATGAGAAGATGGAATAATAAAAGAATAAGGAAGAAGATGAAGAAGAGAGAGGCTTGTCCATCTTGTTATCTCTAAAATTCACGTATAAGTCAAATAAAGTCCCAAATGAATCAACCTCATTTTTACAAATGGTCTAACTACTCTTTTGATCCATTACATTTTGCCTTTCATGAAAAAAAAACCCTTGTTTATGACTTTTTAGACTCAATTTCAACCCAATTAAGCCCTAATTTGGCACAATAACTTCAATTGCAACCTCTACATGGTCCAACAATCTCTTAGATAAAATCGAAAATAATAACCCATAATTTGAGGTGTTGCATTAGTAGGTTGAAAGGATATGATCGTCTGACGATAGATTTGACTATAAAGATCATGTGAATCTACTGGAGATATATGTCAAAAGATCGTTAATGATAGGTGAAAAAAGATCTCCAAAGGAGACACGATCTTGTAGAGGAGAGCGAAAGAAGTACAACATGTGTTATGCTCAAACCTCTTAATTTTTTATTTTCATTTTAACCAAAAAAATAATGTGTTGATGATTATTGGTGTAGGTTTTTTTTAAGGAATAGTTCTTGTTATATTGATTATGATAATTTTTTTATTTGATTGATATACAGTAATTATAAAAGGTAATAGATGTTATATACGTTATAATAGTTTTTTTTGTCATACTAAACATTCATATTCTTACGTTATTTTCCTAATTACCCAACATGTTCTTGCGCGTCCACCGGAACCATGAAGACGTTAGAATTTAGTAATGAGTTCATTGGCATTTTAGTCAACAAATCAATGTTTGGAGCGACTGACCCATCCACGGATTGGCATTTCAAGCTGTCGCTGTGAAAAGAATTCCAAACACGTTTTAGACTTTGTTGATTTTCTTCTAATCACATTAAGACATTTTTGGTGTATGGAATCTAACGTTTGAAATGCATTATTTTTAAGGGTAGTAATTTATGAATTACAAATTGATTTAGTGGATGAGATATTAAATCTTTTAAATATGATCGAAGATTTAAATCCTATCGATTACGAGACCGATTAGTTTACATGTCTATTCATATAAAACATAATTATTATTCATATCCTAATGGGAAAAGTATAACCGTGAAAGACTCGCTCATATCATGTCATGTCATGTCATAGACTCACAGTGATTAAAACAGCTCTTATTTTGCTATATGACGATTTAGATTGATGTATTAATAACTTTTATTTTGGTTTCATAATTAAATTTATTGACTATTAGTTCAATTAGGAAATCATCAAAACAATTTTTTTGTCAAGTATAATAAATATTATTTAAAGAATATTATTGATCAAAATTATTAGCGCCATGAAGGCGTTAGAGATTGATTGGTTGATGGGTGGTATTGAGTCAAGGTATCCCTCGAAGCGATGGGGACTTCAATTTCTTAATTTCATGAATACGTTAAAAATGGATGGATTTGAGGGTATTGGGACATTGTGCTATATTATGAAGTGTCAAACAAACATATGTAGTTTTTTTCGTTATAATAATAAAATCTATAATATGTTACCAGGCATTAAATGATGAAATGTGACTGTAAAATTTTATCATTAGACAACTTATTTTGAAGATTATTGAAAGATCGTTTAAATTCTTTTGTGACAGTATGTCAGTAGTATTGTAGTCTAACAACATTAGGAGTTCGTACAATGAGTTCCTAGTTATTAAAGTGATAGTGCAAAGTGGATAAATATCTATAGAACACATCTGGACAAATCCCATAATAGTATATTCGCTCACATATGGATGAACTTTTCATGAGCACGCTGCTCATATGGATGTTATATACTTGAGAATAATATTGTTTGAGTGAGAGTGTATAATTTTCATGAGCATTTTTAAATATTTATGTATTTGGTTATTTTATTGTCAAAATGAAGTATTTGGTTTATTCGCTTTCTTTTATTATTGATGGACGAGATTATTATAAAATATCTATTATATAATATCAAATACTTATCTCAATCAAAAAAAATCACAAAAGATAAAATCTATCTTCAAAGAAGATCACAATATTCTATATGATTTCTAACAAGGACTAAGGTACACTTTCATGAATTTAATATTCTATTTTTGATGATTTCATATGTTAGACATTGATTAAATTTTATATTTACTATGATTTGGTTCCAATTATAAGAAACAATGCCAGATGTAGGGTTGGACCCTAAAGTTTCAAATATATTTTAAATATTTTTATGTCCTATAGAAAATTTATTTTCGTCCATAAAATTTATAAATCTCTCTCTCTTAAATTTTAAAAATTTGCTCCTCTAACATTAAATCACATGTTTGTTCCTCGACACATGGATCCCTATGAGCAAATTATTAGCGCCAAGAAGACGTTAGAAATTGGTTGATTGATAGATGGTATTGAGTCATTAACCATTGACTCAGGGTACATCTTGGAGCAATTACAAGAACTTCTTATCTCCATGAGGAAGTTGGAAATTGATGGATTGGCGGTCACTGGGCCATTGACAATGGTATCGGCGTATTGCTAGGGGCAATTAGAAAAACATAACTAACGAAGGCGATAAAAATTGATTTATTAAACCATGGAAGGGGTAATTAATGTTGAGAGCTAGCTATGGAAATGAACCCCAAAACATTGAGGAAACTTTGAGACATTACACTTTCCTACTTGACTAACAAAATGCTAAATAAAATGACTACTAAATAAACATTAAAATTAACAATGTAAATTTGAGAAATGAGTTGTAAACGAATATTGATACAAGTGATTGGTATTCAGGAATTTGAGTTTATAATGTCAAGTTCGAATTCTACCATTGTCACTCTTGGTGGGCAATTTGTAAATTCCTACGTAAATCCCAATTAGGTCTTAGATATGTCTTGGACCTGGATTGGGGGGAGCCACCCCTGACCTAAACTTTTTTGCACCAAAAATAAATAAATAGGAGAAATGTGATTGTAGTGATTTTGGTGGTTTATCCCATTTGATTTAGACAAAGAGTCGTATTAGATTACTCGATGAAGGAAAAATAGAGAACATATGAATTGAAGACAATAGTGAACAGTCGTTCAGAGATGACTAATCCTAAGTCTTGTATGGTGACTTGTATAATTAGTGTTGTTATCAGACCTAGGCTGATGATAATTATTTGAAAGTTGACATGCATGTTAAATGGATATATAACTTAAGATAGAATATTGTAAATCACGTAGATCTGTTGATGATCACGTTAAAATACTGTAACTATTTAGAGAATATAAAACTCTTAAGATTTTAAAGAATCGCATAAGTCTTGAGGACCTCCGGAAATTTTATAAAACTCTATAAACTTAAAGAAATAACATTAGATATATATAATTTTCAGAGTATTTTTTAAAAAAGAATCAATATCATTAAATGATATCACTCCTAATACGAAATGTTAAAGACCCGTTCAAGTCATGTTTACAACTTGGTCTTTTTTTCCCACCTAACGTGGAAGTTTCATAGTAATTGAAACAGCTCAAATATTGTCCTATAAAGAGGCAATGTATTTGATTACAATTAGCAGAAAAACATACTCTATATCAACTATCATAACCATGGCTTCCTTCTTAATACCATTCAAACTCATCTTTCTCCTGCTTTTATCTTCCCATGTTTTCTCTTCATCCTCCATAAACTCTACTGAAGCTGAAGCTCTTCTAAAATGGAAAGTTAGCCTCCACAACGACACCCAAACATTTCTCTCTTCTTTGTGGGTGGGAAACAACCATTGCAACTGGGTCGGAATCAGTTGCGACAGCTCCGGAAGCATCACCAATATAACAATGACAAATTATGAATGGAGAGTGAGAGGTACACTTGATAATCTCAACTTTCTTTCATTCCCCAACTTGATTTATCTTCGGCTTGTAGGCAACGCATTGTATGGGCCAATTCCTCACAAATCGGGAACCTTTCCAAACTCAACTACCTAGACTTGGCCTACAATAATTTGTCTGGAACCATCCCATCTGAGCTTTGCTTTACGAAAAGTCTTTCTTTTTTCTCATTGGGTTTTAATTCAATCAGCGGTTCCATTCCACGAGAAATAGGAAGGTTGAGTGCAGTTTCAATAATTCTTTTCATGAGCAACAATTTAACCGGTTCCATTCCAACAGAAATTTCGAACCTTTCCAAGCTTAACTACTTGGACCTGAACCGAAATAATTTCCTTGGGAGTATCCCTTTAGTTATAGGAAGGTTGAGCTCACTTTCTTACCTTAATCTCTTCCAAAATAATCTCACCGGTACAATGCCTGTTTCTATTGGAGGCTTGCGGAATTTATCCACGCTTGACCTTTCAAGCAATCATCTCACTGGTCATATTCCAACAGAAATTTTCAACCTTGATTTGATCTCGCTTAACCTCGGTGACAACAAATTCAATGGTTCTTTACCAAAAGAAGTTGGAATGCTTGAATCTCTCACTGAACTCAAATTGCGAAACAACTCCTTGTATGGGCACATTCCCTCGCACATTGGAAACCTTTCCAGACTCACTTTCCTGGACTTGGCACACAATGTTTTTTCTGGGAATATTCCTCCGGAGATTGGTTTGTTGAAAAGTCTTTATTCGATCACCTTGGATTCAAATTCATTCAGTGGCTCCATTCCACGAGAAATAGGAAGGTTAAGTGCGGTTTCAGTAATTTTTTTAATGAGCAACTTACTGGTCCCATTCCAACATCAATAGGAAGGTTGAGCTCACTTTCTGATCTTCGACTCAACCAAAATAATCTCACCGGAACAATACCTGTTTCTATTGGAGGCTTGCCTAATTTAGCTAGGCTTGAACTTCATAACAATTGACTCAATGGTTCTATACCTAAAGAAGTTGGAATGTTGAGGTCACTTTATTATTTGGACTTTTCAGGCAACCATCTAACTGGTCCTATACCAGCATCTATAGGAAACTTGAGCGACTTGGTATATCTTTATTTTTATGGTAATTACCTCTCTGGTTCGATCCCCAATGAGATAGGATTGCTCAAGTCGCTGTCCACATTACAGTTGTTGGAAAATAATCTTACTGGTGTCATTCCAAGTTCTATAGGAAACATGACCAACTTATTAAGTCTTCTACTTGATGACAATGCGATTTCTGGCCCATTACCTCAGACTATAGGGATGCTTAAATCTCTCAACTTACTGTCTTTGGCTGATAACTCAATCTCTGGTTCAATTCCTGTGTCAATAGGAAACTTGACCAGCTTATCAGGACTTTTCCTTGGTGGAAATAGTTTGTCAGGCCATATCACTCAGACCTACAGTAATTTTACGGATTTCCAACTATCAGATAACCATCTCACTGGCCCATTACCAGAGAATTTATGCCTCGGTGGAGTACTCACTCGACTTGCAGTGATCAATAACAATTTGACGGGTCCAATGCCATCAAGTTTGAGAGACTGCAAAAGTTTAATTAGAGTTAGGCTTGAAGGAAACCAATTCACAGGGAATATATCAGATGCTTTTGGTATATATCCAAATTTGGTTTACATTGGATTAAGCAATAACAGATTTTATGGTGAACTTTCTCCAAAATGGGGTCAATGTCCTAATCTAACTAGCCTACGAATCTCCAATAATAACATTACTGGAAAGATATCACTTGAGTTAGGACTTAGGACATGCAACTCAGTTGCAGGAAGTCGATCTCTCTTCGAATCATCTAATCGGTGAGATTCCAAGGGAACTCGGAGCATTGAAAATGATGTCCCGTCTTTTTCTAAGTGGTAACCGGTTTTCAGGAAAAATTCCATCTGAGATCGGTCTTCTTTCCAATCTAGAACAGCTTAAGTTGGCATCAAACAACTTAAGTGGACCTATTCCTGATCAACTTGGAAACTGCTTGAAATTATTCCACTTGAATTTGAGCATGCATAATCTTGGAGAGGGCATTCCATCTTCAGTATGTGATGTTATTGCTCTTCAAACTCTAGATTTGAGTCAGAATTCACTTATTGGAGGCATCCCACGACAGTTTGAAAAATTACAGTCCTTGGAAGTATTGAACCTTTCTCACAATATGCTCAATGGTTCCATCCCAGAAGCTTTCAATGATTTGCATGGTTTGAGAATTGTGAATATATCCTTCAATCAATTGGAAGGTCCGATTCCAGACCTTAAGGCATTTCACGAGGCTTCATTCGATGCCTTATGGAATAATAAAGCCTTATGTGGTAACGCCACTGGACTAAGGCCTTGTGTTCTCCTTTACCGAGATAACCATAGCCATGGAGGAAGGACCAAAGTCATTGTTTTAGCTTTGCTTCCACTCTTTGGTGGTCTACTTTTGTTGTTTATGTTGGCTGTGAGTTTCCTTACTTGTTACAAGAAGACTCCGAGCAGAAAATCAGAACCGAGGGAGGAACAACATGGTGATATTTTCACTGTGTTTGGATTTAATGGAAGAATACTCCATGACAGCATCATTGAAGCCACTGAAGATTTCAGCTCCGACTATTGCATTGGATCGGGAGGATACGGAGCCGTTTATAAAGCTACTTTACCAACTGGTCAAGTGGTTGCAGTGAAGAAGGTTCACCAATCTGAAGACAGCTTGCTTCTCAACAACTTGAAAGCTTTTGAAAGCGAGATTGTTGCTTTATTAGAAATAAGGCACCGTAACATTGTGCAGATGTATGGCTTTTGTTCACATCCAAAGCATTCTTTTCTGGTTTATGAGCTCGTAGAAATGGGAAGTTTGAGAATGGTCTTAAGCAACAATGAGCAAGCAATGTTGTTAGACTGGGAAAAGAGGCTAATTGTTGTTAAAGGATTGGCCAATGCCCTGTCTTACATGCATCACAACCATTCACAACCTATAGTTCATCGAGACATTTCCAGCAACAATATTCTTTTGGATTCGGACTATGAAGCTCGTGTCTCTGATTTTGGAACTGCCAGGATTTTAAAGCCTGACTCGTCCAATTGGACATCACTTGCGGGAACCTATGGGTATATAGCTCCAGGTATTAACTATTTTTTTCCTTCTGAAAATGCTTTCAACAGTTCATTTATTTGATAAGAAGTGTTAATTTCTAATATAGACATGATTCAAATAGCAAATGCATGTTTTTGATGTAGAGTTGGCTTATACAATGAGGGTAGATGAGAAATGTGATGTGTACAGCTTTGGGGTGGTAGCAATAGAAGTTTTGATGGGGAAGCATCCTGGTGATCTTCTTTCATATTTGTCATCATCAACACCTGTGTCAAATGATGAACAAATTTTACTTCAAGATGTGATTGACCACCGTCTCTCACCACCGCGAAGCCGAGAGGCAATGGATGTAGTCACTGCTACAAAGGTAGCATTTGCATGCCTGAATGCCAATCCTCAACTTCGGCCAACCATGCAACATGTTGCACAAGCCCTTACCCGTCAACCCCTTCCATTGCCGAGTCCTTTCTCGACCATAAAAGTGGAAGAATTGTTGGGTCATGTAGTCTGCAATGGCTAACTAAGGTGCTAAAATTCAGGTCCTATTGTTGAATAAATTTGGTTGGTACAACCGCAGGATTGCAAGTACTTGTCTAGTGTCACTGCTTGAAATGGAGAAAAGCTTTGGAGCAATCGAAATTTGAATCCAGATTCGATCTCACCTAAGCGATTAACTATATAATGCCAATTTGGTTAAGTACCCTATTTGTATCATATTTGTAAAGCTATCATTTATACTTTGTTTCAATTTCATGTATAATATTTACTAGTGTTTCTACTTTATTCAAGAAAATTGTATGGGCACATTCCCTCACAGATCGGGAACCTTTCCAAGCTCGGCCACCTTGACTTGGCCTACAATAATTTTTCTGGGAATATCCCATCTGAGCTTTTCTTATTGAAAAGTCTTTCTTTTTTTGTCACCTAGGGTTATAACTCAATCTGAGGTTAATAGGAAATCTGCGTACAACTTCACACACTTATACCGTAACAGATGTCACCCCTGGTGCCGCAGTGGATCCTCAAACCAACCATGCTATCGACACCACCATCAAGGCGAAACTCGAAAAAGACAACATAATGGTGAAGGGATACTTGTTATATCATATGGCCAACAACGTGTTTGATCTTTTTGTCAAGGAAAAAAGCGCCAAGTCAATATGGGACACCTGAGACAAGAAATAAGGAGATGTTGGGACCAAATAATATGATGTAATATGCTTTTAGAGAGTGACTAAAGTTCCAAATGACAAATGAAAAACTCATAATGAAGCTTCATGCCTAGGAGAAGTGTAACAATATCCTAAACCAGTACGACATACAATCGACTGATTAGAATGTCACACGGAACTATTGGAGTGGCTAACCGAAATTTTCTTTTAAATTCCTCCATTTTAAAAACGACCAATTGTAAATATTGATGCTAAAATAAATTAACCACAATTTAAATAAAAGAGTTTATATCAGGAGCTCCCAAAATAATATTTATAACATACATACCATTGATGAAAATGAGTTACAACTCATACATAAATATACAAAGGGTCCACAAGTATACATGCCCTCTAAAAAGATGACCTAAGATCTACTCTGCATTATTTGCGTCTGGATCACTGCTAGCAAAAAGTCCTCGGACTGCTCCTCGACTAACCTGCGTAAGGAAACAAATTTCAAACGCTGTGCTAACTAGCTCAGTGTCACACTAACAACTAAGGCATACTAGAAGTGTTCATGCAATGCTCAAATCAACTGATAAATTGAAATAGTGAGTATACTTGTATTCTGCACTCTCTACTCTATGGTAGACATCATGGTGCAGCTGAGGGTTCTGTATCTCAGAGATCACACACCCCTCTAGTCTACCAAGGTTGATTGCCTGGAATCTCTATATCAGTCAACCCCCTCTACTAGCCCACTCCTTGAGTGTTAGACCTTGCGCCCAAGCTAGTTAGCTTAAAGTGCCTTGCGCACCACCTAAGGATATATCCAGATTGAATCTATACATTCGATACTGCAAGCATTTTCTAAAGGAACTCGGGTGTCCTGATTGTTTCCCTAGCATCAATCAAGGCTAGTTTTATGTCACCCTAATTGATCTTGTTTCTAAGTGCAATTAACATCATTAATGTTCTTTCTTGTGGTCTTATTTGATAATATACTGAGTGTTGGGGTACCTCGAGTCTAATTTCCTTAAAAACTGACTTTCTTGCCCAAACAGACTACTGGTATCGATATTGACCCTTCAGTATCGATACCCTCACCTTGGTCTCGATACTCTACGTGATTATCGATACCGAAAATGGCTACTGGAATTTATATTTTACCAAGAATGGGTATCGATACCATTGCCCATAAATTTATTTTTTACCCAAAAATGAATAACAGATCTCAATACTAACCTTGTAGTATCGAGACTCGATCTGTATAAGGCATAAAACAAGTACGAAAATTCTTATTTTTCTATCCCAAAGACCTTAGTGAAGTCCCTAAACATTATTAAAGTTTTATTTGATCAACAAAGGTCATAATAGAGGCTTTAAACATGTTTATAGCTCTAAAACATGAAATTTACCATGTAAATACTTATCATGATTAAACTCAAACATTATATCATCTTACTCTTTTAATGACTCACTAAGAGTATAAAATGGTTGTGACTGTGTTACCTTGGTCCTTTGGTACCTAGAACTCTCCTCAACTCAACCAATGCTCAGCTTTTTCTTTGACTAGCTCTTGAGCTTTCTCTTATCTCCTTCACTAAACAAGGATGAGAAATGGGATTACTAATCCATCTAGGCTCTTGGATTGAGGTTAAAGACTCAATCTATAACATTGTATCCACTAAATACAAACTAGAACCACGAACTCTCCAAAAACTTCACAAAACTCATTTTGATTTTTATGACTAAAAACTAGTAAAATAGAGCTTAAAACAAAGCTTGAAGGATGGAGAGAAATATTTTTACCTTGGATTGATCCAACTAGGCTTAAATTTCTCTAAGTTTATCACTTTATAAAGGATGAAGAAAAGAGAAAAATGAGAAGATAAGAAGAGTATTTGGTGAATTGTGTAAGGGGGTTAGTTCACTTTGAAATAAAAAAAATAAGGAGGGATTTTTAGCTTTACAAACATCAAGGGGATAGTTACACTTTTAAACCCTCAATTTCTTAATTCATAAAAACTCATCACCTAACCACAATTCCTTTGGGCCTCAACTCAAGCCCACTAATATTAAACTTGGTCCAACTAATTTATAAAGTCCTTTAGGCTCAAACTTTGGATCTCTGGTTGACCCAAACTACTAACCTCGGATTTGGGGTTTTACAACTCTCCCCTCCTAATAAGAAATTTCATCCTCAAAATTTACCTGGGTAGAAAAGATGTGGATACCAGAGTTTCCTATTGATAACTCCGTAAAAAGACTCAATTTCTAGTCTTTTCACTTAAGTTATTGCTCATCTAAACAAAGTATGCATAACATTTTAGTTGCATATAGGTTATATTAGCTTGTGGTGGATAAATTTTGCTTAGGCAAGATTTATTTGGTTTAACTGATGCTGCTAAGGAGGAAGGGTTGCTTGGATTGTGTTTGTGCAGGGAACCTATAGAGGAAGAACATTTTAGTCGTGACAACATAAATTTGCATAGGCCAACGGAATATATGAGAACGCGAGGAGCATATTTATCTCACCGAGACAAGGTTTATCTGAAGAAATCTGAAGCAGGAGTGACGAAACCGCCTATGTCACATGCCAGCTGGATGACCTACTTCACGTACAAGCAAGCCTTAATTATTCTGACAGTCGCCTTTTCTTTTTAAGTTTGGACATTTATTTGATAATGACTATTTAAGGAAACTCCAAAAAAAACATGCAAAGCCCTAGGAGATCGTTCCTTATAAATAACTAGCCATAGCCGACAAAGAAAGGAGGCAAAGAAGAAGAGATAGAGCTTTATTCCAAGCGTGAGCAAGCAACTGCAGTGTTTTTTCACAGTCTACCCACCGACCTTCCTTGGTGTTCTCCATAGCCAGACTTTAGCAGAGCGATGATCAGGCCTCGAGAGAGGGTTGTACTAAACGTTGAATATTTGGGGTTGTACTAAACGTTGAATTTTGGATGACCTTTGATAGCACCATTAATGTCTTACTTGGTGTTAAACTTTGTTTGTCCTGAACAATATTTTTATGTTTTATGAATGATGAGTTATGTTTGCTTATGACTGTTTTGCTCATTGTTTAATTATTTTACCTTACGCTGTAAGAGCATCGAGAGATTACCTGGGGTATTGGTAAAACATGTCTTGGCAATATAAGAGCATCGAGAGATAGCCTTTTATCTAGATAGGGATTCTTAGATTCGAGAGAATTAAGATAGATCCACGTGAGCAATAGAATGAATCCGGGATGGTGAAATTCTAACTTTTTGCCTTAGAGATAAGGAGTGAGTTTCAATAGACTAAAAGGGATAGACGCTAGAGTAGGATAGACAACGCCTATAGTTTACACTGAGAGGTTTTGTTATAACAACGAGTTGTAGTTAACACTGAGGAGTATTGCCATAACAACCATCTAAGAATACCTAGAAATCTTGTCGGGCAGCTTTAGCAAGTCATAATAATTCATTCTAGACTTAGAAATAATTGTTGACAATGCTAGGATTTATCATCAGTGCTATGTGATATGTCTGAATATGTGAGGTTGTTTGCATTAGATTTAAATCAACACTTATATTGTTTTGTTTTATTATTCTGCATACTTATTTTTCGACAAAACTTTCCTGCAATAGTTAAATCACTTCTTCATTTTATTAATATTAGTTTTTAAGGTTGATACTTAGTAGGACTTAGTTTGTGACACTAGTTCTAGTTGTGGTGAAAATATATTTCTCGACCAATCCCTGTGGAGACGATACTCACTGACCCTATATTACTTGAATCGATTGTGTATACTTGCACAGATTTTCTTGCCTTAACATATACATTTACAAGCGATCACGTATCTTCTTAGGTATCTCAAGCAGCTTCTTTGACCCCATGATTCCGCCGTAGCACTTTTACTAAGGGAGTCTTCTTATTCCTAAATTCTTTCACTTCATTGACTAGAATTCTGATTGACTCCTCTTCATAAGTCATGCCAGGGCTCAACTCAACTTGCTCTAATGATAGGACATGTGATGGGTCGAAACGATATCTTTGGAGTATGGACACATGGAACACATTATGAATGCGCTCCAACTCTGGAGGCAAGTGTTGAAAACATTTTTGATATTTCGATATAACAAATTAAGTTAAATGAATTTTAAGATTTTACAAATGATTTTACAATTTTATATTCGATTCAATTAACCGAATATCAAATTATTACTCCAAGTTTTTCAAGATCAATTTTAAACCTTACTAAATGTGTAAAATTGTGATTTGTACTTAAACTATTTTTAAAACAATTTTCACAAAGTATTTGGAACCAAAATCAAAGCCTAAATTCAATTATTTGAGGTGATGCACCGATGCATCCACCATGCATCGATGCATTAGTGAAT